TTAATATGTTTAGGCTGGAAGCCAAACTGCTGACTTTGTCCACTCCGGTCCACCACTGGTACTTCTACATCTTCGTTCTAAACCACAAACATATCCACACTCAAACATGATTAACACAGACAAAGGACAAACAGTTTAACACATATACAACGGCAGGAAAAGAATGTAGACAGGATAAACAATACTTCAAAGGCCAAAGGTCCAAACCATGAGGTGGGAGGATACCTTCCTCACAGTCCTTTGTATTTTTGCAACAATGAGATGCTATTCTTTATGCAATGACAGTCATTCATCATTTTCATGGGTGATCAGGTGAACTTAGATTTCCTCTTGAATAAATTCTTTCTTTTAAACTTTCTTGGGTTTTCTACCTTTCCCAGACAGAGAGAGAGGTGGAGGTTGCTTCAGAAAATACTTACAAGGATGTTGCCAGGGTTGGAGGGTTTGAGCTATAGGGAGGGACTGAATAGGCTATTTTCACTGGCCTGTCAGAGGCTGACAGGTGACCTTGTGGAGGTTTATAAAATCATGAGGGGCATAGAAAGGATGAACAGCCAAGGTCTTTCCCAAGGGTAGGGGAATCCAAAACTAGAGAGAACAGGTTTAAGGTGAGAGGAGAAAGATTTAAAAGGTACTCAAGGGGAACATTTTTCATACAGAGGGTGGGACATGGTTGGAATGAGCTGCCAGAGGAAGTGGTGGAGGTGGGTACAGTTACAACATTTAAAAGGCATCTGAAGATTGCTGGGGCCTGCAATAGAGGTAGGTCGCAGAAGACTGGAGAATAGCTGATGTTGTTCCTTCGTTTAAGATGGGCAGCAATTTTAATCCAGGAAATTATAGGCCAGTGAGCCTTACATCAGTGGTAGGGAAATTATTGGAGAAGATTCTTAGGGACAAGATTTACGCACATTTGGAGAAGAATTGACTTATTAGGCATCATCAGGGAGGGAGAGATATGTGGGGGAGATCTTGTTTAACAAACTTGCTTTGAGTTTTTTTTTCATGAAGTGATTGAAGAGGGTAGGGCAGTGGATGTTGTCTTTATGGACTTTACTAAAGCATTTGACAAGATCTCTCATGGTAGGCTGGTCCAGACTTAAGTCACAAGGCCTGCACACTGAGTTAGGAAGTTGGATACAAAATTGGCTTGACCATAGAAGACTGAGGGTGGTTGTGGATGAACCAAATCCCCGAAGGCCAGGATCTCATCACCAAGTCACCCTTTATTTACATGTGCACAGTACATCACACTGATCCAGCCAGCTCAGAGCTAGCTCCCAGACTGAATAGAAACCCTGATACTCCTGCAATTTTTTCTTTTTCTTTCCTTTTTAGAATGAGAAGACCTTCTGAATCTCCTGCTTTTCCCCCCATGCTACTACTGTACAGCAGTAGTGCTGATATTTTCCCCATGTTGCCTGTGTTGTGTGTGTCTATGTGCGGTGACTCAGTAAAAAGACACCAATGCGCAAACACTATTTCATACTTCCCACCACCAGGAAAACACCCATGTGGCCAGAGAACCATTAACAAGCAAAATGCTTACGTGAAGAAAGGAGGAAATAAAGCACTCCACCCCACCACGGTGACATTCTGTTTATATCTGTCAGACAGGACTCCCTGATTGGACTAGGTCCAATTGGAACAGCCCCAATCAGGGAGCTTACATTCCATGAGATCCACCTGGCTGACCTCGTTCCAATCTCTACATCCCTCCCCCCTTAAATCCTGGGATTTAGGCCCATTCCTTCTCCAGTAGCTTTTCCTGGGGGGTATTTGCACAAGACCCAGTTGCTCTGACTCTGCCTTGGATACTCGTGGCCTGTATGGAGTCTTAAACTGCCTCCTATGCCCAGAGTGTGTTGGCCGAAATTCATTTTCTTCTTCAGGTGGTAATGGTGTTGAGGTGTGACATCTGTTGTGTCCATCTCGTCCTCAGATGTTTCTTTGATGCTGGGTGGAGGGGGAGAACCCACCAGGTTCTGACAGCCTTGCCGAATGTTCTGAGGGGCCAGGTACGTTTTGCTCCTGCCCCATTTGCAAAGTTGCAGCTTTCATGTGGTCCACGTGGTTGTTCAGGACCGCCTCTCCTACCCTAACTTTGGACATCCTGGGACCTGACTTTCCGTTGACCATGCCTCTTACCCATGCAGGTCCATTCCTGTTCTTCCAACACCAAACTTTGTCCCCTGAAGTAAACTGCCTCTCTCACTTTGAGGAGTCCAGCATATGGCATTAGCATGCCTGATGCCATTTCACTCACTCCCCCACATCTGGGAAGGTCAGATTTAACCTGGTGCAGAGTCTTCTGGAGCTGTCCCTGTAGTTGCATGAGGAGTGGTCCTATAATCAAACAGGAACTGGAACAGTTTGGTGTTGAGTGAAGCTGTTTCTTTAATCCTGTTTTCAAAGATTAGACTGCTCTTTCTGCTAAACCATTGGACAATGGTTGGTAGGGAACTGTCCTTATATGGTGAATGCCATTCAACATTAGAAAATACTCGAACTCCGTGCTGGTAAATAACAGCCTGTTGCCTGTGACCAACACTTCCGGGACTCAAGGTATTGCAAAAGATGCTCGCAGCTTTTCAGTCATTGTCTCCATCTTTGACAAATGAACTCTATGCACATCCAACTACTTTGAATGGATGTCCACAATGAGTAAAAGCGTTGACCATGGAAAGACCAGCAAAGTCAATGTGTAACAGAGTCCAGGGTTTACCTAACCATTCCCATGAATGTCGGGATTTGCGGGCAGCGTCATTGTTGGCACTCTGGGCACTGCCCCACTAACGTGACTATGTCAGCATCCAATCCTGGCCATCAGACATGACTTCTTGGCAACATCTTCATTTTGGAAACTCCTGGATGATCCTAGTTGAGTTCAGCCAGAATACGATGGCGACTTTTACTCAGGAAACTCACTCTTGCTCCACATAATATGCCATCCTGTATGGTGATCTGGTCTGGCCAGGTCCAGAAAAGTTTCAGTTCAGGTTGGGATGGCCCTTTTGTTTCCTCCATCACCACCAGCTGTTTTAGTTTTGCCACAGTCTGATGCTGCCAGTGGTGACCAGAAGGGTGTCCAGAAATTTTAAAACCAGAATGGACTGTTCTAGTAGCGGCACCACTGGTGGTGTATTTGCCACTTAGCTTCCCGTACTGTGCTCCAATTTGTAATTGGACACGCTTGGAATAAGAGCTCACCACTGAATTCGACCTGAAGCTTTGAGTGGCATGGCCCCATCCTCATTTAGTAGGTGGGTAGAAGGGTTTGTGGTCTGTTAGTATTACAAATTTTTGTCTGTAAAGATAATGGTGGAATTTTCTCACACCAAACATGACCACCAAATTTTCCCTTTCTTTCTGGGCATATCTTCATTTGGCATCAGCCAATGTCTGAGAAGCATATGCTATCGGCCTGTGCCACTTTCCAGCAGAGGACGGAGAACATTTTACAAGGTCCACCCCAGATCGCCATTTATCTCAATGATGTGCTAATAACCAGGAAGACCGATAAAGAGCATTGACATTTCTCCATGGTGGGTGTACACTTTAGGAGGGAAAAATGTGTGTTCCAGGCACCCCAAGTGAACTGATTGGGCTACAGAGTTGACAGGACCAGGTAATACCCATTGGATGATAATGTGAGGGCAATCAGAGATGCTCTGGCTTCCATATCTATACTAGAGCTAAGCTCTTTCCTTAGGTTGGTGAATTATTATGGAAAATTCATACGTAATCCCTTCCATTTGCTATTGAGAAAGGGGCAACCTTGGATATAGTCTTGTAGCCAAGATGTAGCCTTTAGGGAAGTAAAGAAGCAGCTATCATCGTTTTAGGTGTTGGCACACTATGATCCCAAGCAAGATGTGGTGCTGACATGCAATGCCTCCCCATTCAGTGTCGGAGTAGTTTTGGCTCACCATATAACCTCCCTCATTTGGTCAAAACAGGAAACTGCTGTTCACAGCATACACCCTGGGTCAGAGTTTAAACTAATTTGTCCAAAATTACCAGCATGCTAAATTGTAGCTCTTAACCAGTCTCGTTGCTATTTCTGCTGCTGGCCAACTGACCACAATACTGAAGGCTGAGTAGTTAAAAAGCTCTATCCATAAAGATCAATGTCTTCATAGAATCATTGAATCCCTACTGTGTGGAAACAGGCCCTTCGGCCCAACAAGTCCACACTGAACCTCAGAGCATCCCACTCAGACCCATCCTCCTATAACCCACCTAATCTACACCTCCCTGAACACTATGGACAATTTAGTATGGCCAATCCACCTACCCTACACATCTTTGGACTGTGGGATGAAACCGGAGCACCCGGAGGAAATCCACGCAGACACGGGGAGAATGTGCAAACTCCACACAGATAGTCGCCCGAGGCTGGAATCAAACCTGGGTCCCTGGCGCTGTGAGGTAGCAGTGCTAACCACTGAGCCACCATGCCACCCCAAACCATCTTGGTTTCTGGCTCAGTGGCTGGCCTGGATACAAATTGCTCTGTGGGTATACCTACACCCCATGAACTACAAGAAGCTCACCAACACCTTCTCAGGGACAGTTAGGGATGGGTATAAATGCTGACCCAGTCAGTGATGTTCACATCTCATGAATGAAAAAATAATGGTTAACGTTTCAAACATTTCCTCTTTTCTCATTATATCTCCTTCCCTATATTTAATTAATCTGTTTGATTTTTATTTTATTTTTATTTTTGCAAATCTTACATACCCATAGAAACTTTTACAATTAGTTTTTATCTATCACTGCCCCACATCCCGTGAATTGCCTGTCACCCAAAGTTCACAGCAGAATCCCACTGTTTTCTCAACCAGTGCTTATACAGACACATGAAAATAGGAACTAGATGATGATCACAAGTAGGAACAAGAGTAAGGACCAGGTTTCATCATATACACCATACAAAACATACGTTAGGGACATGAGGATCTTAGCATCGAAACTGTTTCTGTTTAATTTCACAGATGGTTAAAGGGTTTGGAAGATGATAAACAAGAGACTGATGTCCACTTTAATTCTCTGACTGGAGAAGGAAATTTCAACTGGCGATTTGTCTTCCGTTTTGACTACTTGCCAACAGAGAAGGAGATTGTTTATAAGAAGAAAGAGTCAATTTTCTCTTTGGAGGAGTCTGAGTTTCGACAGCCTGCTGTTCTCATGCTCCAACTTTGGGATTATGACTTGATTTCTGCAAATGACTTTCTTGGTAAGTATTTCAAATCTGTTTGCTTCCAGACATTTTTCAAAAACTCCTTCCTTGTTCCCTTTTTAAATATGTCAAAACCATGGTGAGGGGATAGAAGAGATTTCATAAGACAATATCAGGGTTAGAAACATACAAACATAGAAACTAGAAGCAGAATAGGCAATTTGGCTTTTTGAGCATACACTGCCAATCAATATGATAATGGCTGATCATACACCTGAATAGCACTTTCTCACTTTCTCCATATCCTTTGATTCCTTTAGCCCTCCTTAAAAACATACAATGATTTGGCCTCAGCAACTTTCTGTGGCAGAGAATTCCACAGGCTTACCACTCTCTGGGTGAAGACATTTTTCCTCATCTCAGTCCTAGGTATTATCACTAGACTATTAATTCAGAAACTCAGCGAATGTTGTGAGGGGTAATAGGAACTGTCGATGCTGGAGAATCTGAGACAACAAGGTGTAGAGCTGGATGAACACAGCAGGCCAAGCAGCATTAGAGGAGCAGGAAGGCTGACGTTTCGGGTCTAGACCCTTCTTCAGAAATGGATGTTGTGAGGGCCTGGGTTCGAGTCCCAGCATGACAGATGGTGGAATTTGAATTCAGTTTTAAAAAATCTGTAATTGAGAATCTACTGATGACAAAATCTTTGTTGTTTGTTGGAAAAATCCTGCTGGTTCACTAATGTTGTTCAGGGAAGGAAAATCTGCCAAACTTACCGTATCTGGCCTACATGTGACTCCAGACCCACAGCAATGTAGTTGACTCTCAACTGCCCTCTGAAATGGCCTAGCAAGCTATTCAGTTGTACCAATTGCTAAAAAATCTCAAAGAAATGAAACCAGATGGATCACCCGGCATCAACCTAGGCATCGGAAAAGACAATGGCAGAAACAGCCCTGTCGACCCTGCACAGTCCTCCTCACTAACATCTGGGGATTAGTGTGAAAATTGGGAGAGCTGTCTCACAGACTAGTCAAGCAACAACCCAACATAGTCATAGTCACGAAATCATACCTTACAGACAATATGTCCTGTTCCACCAGCAGGACAGAGCCAGCAGAGGTGGCAGCACAGTGATATACAGTCGGGAGGGCGTTGCTCTAGGAGTCCTCAACATTGACTCTGGATCCCATGAAGTCTCATGGCTTCAGGTTAAACATGGACAAGGAAATCTCCTGCTGATTACCACATACCGTCCTCCCTCAGCTGATGAATCAGTACTCCTCCATGTTGAACAACACTTAGACGAAACACTGAGGATGGCAAGGGCCCAAAATGTACTCTGGGTGGGGGATTTCAATGTCCACCACCAAGAGTGGCTCGGCAGCAGCACTATGATTGAGCTGGTTGGGTCCTAAAGGACATAGCTACTAGACTGGGTCTGCGGCAGGTGATGAGGGAACAAACAAGATGGGAAAACATACTTGAACACATCCTCACCAATCTGCCAGCTGCAGATGCATCTGTCTATGACAGTATCAGTAAGAGTGACCATCGCACAGTCCTTGTAGAGATAAAGTCCCACCTTCACATTGAGAATAACTTCCATCGTGTTGTGTAGCACTATCACCGTGCTAAATGGGACAGACTTCGCACAGATCTAGCAACTCAAGACTGGGCATCCATGAGGTGCCGTGGGCCATCAATAGCAGCAGAATTGTACTCCAGCACAATCTGTAACCTCATGGCCTGGATTACCCCCACTCAACCATTACCATCACCATCAAGCCAGGGGATCAACCCTGGTTCAATGGAGAATGCAGGAGGGCATGCCAGGAGCAGCACCAGGAATACCTGAAGATGAGGTATCAACCTGGTGAAGCCACCAAACAGGACTACTTGCACACAAATAGCATACTCCCCAGTTGTCTGGATGGGTGCAGCTCCAATAACACTCAAGAATCTTGTCATAATCCAGGCTTGATTGACACCACATCCACAAACACCCACTCCCTCCACCCACCGACACTCAGTAGCAGCAGTGTGTACTATCTATAAGGTGCACTGCGGAAATTCACCAAAGATCCTCAGACAGCATCTTCCAAAATCACGACCACTTCCATGTAGAAAGACAAGGGCAGCAGATACATGGGAACATCATCACCTCCAAGTTCCCCTCCGAGACACTCACCACTTGGAAATATATCTCCGTTCCTTCACTGTCACTGGGTCAAAATCCTGGAATTCCCTCCTTAATAGCATTGTGGGTCAACCTACAGCAGGAGGACTGCAGCAGATCAAGAAGACCACTGACCACCACCTTCTCAAGGGCAACTAGGGATGGGCAATAAATGCTGGCCAGCCAACAACGCCCACGTCCCATAAATGAATTTAAAAAAAGGCTTACCCTGTATATTTAGACTGTGACGCCTAGTTCAGAACTCCCCAGTCATTGAGAACATCCTTCCTGCATCTACCCTTTCTAACCCTGTTAAATTTATAGGTTTTTAAGAGAATTTCCGCCTCCATTCTTCTGAAATTAAGTGAATACAGTCCAAGTGATCAAGTCTCTCTCTGTACGTTAGTCCTGCGGTCCCAGGATTCTATCTGGTGAAGCTTCACTGCACTGCCTCTGTAGTGAGAACACCCTTTCTCAGATAAGGAGACCAAAACTACACACAATACTCCTGGTGTGATCTCACCAAGGCCCTGCACAATTGCAGCAACACATCCCTGCTCCTGTACCCGAATCCTCTAACGAATGAAGGCCAACACATCATTTGCCTTCTTCACCAGCTGCTGGACCTGCAATGCTCACTTAAAGTGACTGGTGTACAAGAACACTCAGTTCTTATTGCACTTCCCCCTTTCATTCAGATAATAATCTGCCTGTCTGGTTTCACTACCAAAGTGGATAACCTTACATTTATACCGTATCTGCCATGTATTTACCCACTTAACTTGTCCAAATCACACTGAATCTTCTCTGCATTGTCCTCATAGCATAAACCCCACTCCCACACATTTTTGCATCATCTGCAAACTTGAAACTATGACAGGTAGTTTCTTCATCTAAATTATTAATATCAATTGTGAATAACTGTGGTCTAAGCACTGATCCCTGTGGTACCCCACTGCCTGCCATTAGGAAAATGACCCATTTATTCCTACTCTTTGCTTCCTGTTTACCATCAGATTTTTTTTATCCATTTCTGTACATGACCTTCAATCCCATGCTCCTTAATTTTTTGCATACTAATCTTTGTATGGGATTTTATTGTGAGACTTCTGAAAATTCAAATAAATCACGTCCACTGACATTTTCTTATTCTTTTTCCTGGTTACATCCTCAAAAATTTCCAACAGATTTGTCAAGCCCATCCTCCCCTTCATAAAACTATGCTAAGTCCTATCCTATCACTATCTTAAGAGATTTAAAATCATCAAAACAGCATTAGCAATGATTACATTTTTTGGAGTATTTTTGAAACTGCAAATTGCAGAATTGTAACTACTTTTAAAACAGAAGGATTAAATATTTTGAGGAGGGAAATAAAGAAGTATCATAGAATCCCTACAGTGTGGAAACAGGCCATTCAGTCCAACAAGTCCACACTGACCCTCCGAAGAGAATCCCACCCAGACCCATTCCTGTAACTCTGCATTTCCCATGGCTAATACACCTAACCTACATATCCCTGAACACTATGGGCAATTTAGCATGGCCAATCCACCTAGCGTGCACATATTTGGACTGTGGGAGGAAACCAGAGCACTGGCCGGAAACCCACGCAGACACGGGGAGAATGTACAAACTCCACACAGTCGCCCAAGAGTGGAATTGAACCCAGGTCCCTGGCGCTGTGAGGCAGCAGTGCTAACCACTGACCCTCCGTGTTGCCCCAAATTTTTAAACAAAGCTCAAGTTAAGTCAACACAGCAGGCCAGGCAGCATCAGAGGAGCAGGAAAGCTGACGTTTCGGGTCAGGACATCAGCTTTCCTGCTCCTTTGATGCTGCCTGGCCTGCTGTGTTCCTCCAGCTCCACACTGTGTTATCTCTGACTCCACCATCGGCAGTTCTTACTATCTCAAGTTAAGTCAAGATGCCTATAAACAAAGGGAGTACCCAGATTTGGGCTGGGAAACCTCTTGACCTGCAATCAAATGTTGTACCACTGAGCTATACCCCCAGTGTATTTAGAAATGCTACAGAGAAAGGATGAAGTAGAAATCTCATTCAGAGGAACAATAACCCTTTTCTACAGCGTTTTAACCGTGATGATACTGATATACCAATGTTATCATTTGGTCATGCCACAGTAATTTTTTTGTTTAAAGTAATCAAAGTTTGAAATCCCAGTTGCTTACAAATTGAATACAGCCATGAGATCACGTGTTTTTCCAAAGCAGAATAAACTTTATTGCACAAGGTTAGGAAAGTAAAGCAATCTTCAATATATATTCTCTATATATGTGTATACTAACATCCAGAATTAACATGGGGTAAATATGGATTAACAGACAGTGATAGAACCAATCTACCTCAGACCACCTCAATGATGGCTCAGAGAGTTGTGCAAACAGTGAAATGGAAACAGAAACTCAAACTCAAATGGTGAAAGCAGAAACATAAATGCCACAAAAATCATTGCAAACAGAAACTAAATAAGAAAAATCACAAATACAAATAGTTTGAACAAGGGGCAGTTTTAAAACTTGCATATGATATAAAACCTGGAAACATTGCAAACTGTGATGAGGACAGTGTGGAACTTAAAAAGGACATCGCCATCTTGTTGGAATAGATAGATAGGTGTCAAATGAAGTTCAATGTGGTGAAGTGTGAGGGGATATCATTTGTTAGAAAGAACATGGCAAAACAATGTAGACTAAAGGATACTAAAGGTTGTGCAGGAGCAGTTAGGCGAGAAGATGCAGGAGCAGAAGAAGGCCATTCAGTCCACCGAGTTTGCTCTGCTATTCAATGTGATTATGGTTGATGTGATCAAGCTCAACAAAACTTTCCTGCCTTTTTACCATAAAAAATTTCACCCAGAGGATGGTGGGTATCTAGAATGGTGTTAGAGGCAGAAATTTTCGTATCATTTAAGAAGTATTTAGATACACACTTGCGGTGCCTTGGTATATAAGGCTATAAGCAAAGTGCTGGAAAATGTGATTAGAATAGTTAGGTGCTGGTTCTTGACTTGCACAGACCCAATGGGCTTAAGGGTCATTTTGGATACTGTAGGCCTCTGTGACTTTATGATTCTAACCTTGATTCCCTTACTGATTAAAAATCTGTCTCTCTCATCCTTATTTACATTTAACAAATAAGCCAGGACAGCTGTCTGCAGTATACCCAGATGTATGTGCACATATTTCATTGAATGTAGTAGGTGGAGTTTCCCAGACTTTATTAATAGTGACTTGCAAAAGAAGCAAATGCAATGTGAGAAAAAAAACTCCTTTGTGCAGCAAATAGTTATGGTCTAGAATGCACTGCCTAGAAGTGTAGAGAAGGTTCATTGAAGCCTTTAAGAAGGCAATATGTAATTATTTGAATAGAAACAGTTTGCAGGGTTGGGGGAAAAGCCAGGAAAATGGCACTGTCATAATGCTCATGTGGATGATCAATACAGATACAGTGGGCCCAATGGTCTCGTTACACAGGGTAACATTTCTGTCAATGAAAACAGAAAACATCAAAGGAAGTGTTGAAATCCTATTCAACTAGATTTGTGTTTTCAAAATTTGGCTTCAATCCAATTTGCAGTCATAACAACTGCCTTTTATCTCTGATCGTGAAAACCTGCCTGAGCTGATTTCTGGCAGTGAAGCTTGAAAACTGACCACTGAGTTCAGTTCATTCAAAGAATACCAGTCTCCCAAAGTTTAATATTTTTTTGAAAATACAAATAAATCTACTCGAAACCAATTTCTCACTTGCATGATTTTGCTAATGATAACTGTGTAGAAGATGGCAGGAGCAATAATCATCAGTGTAATTGTGGTAAGAGGTGAACCATTACAAACTGTGTAAGTAATTCCTTTCTGCCTTGCTAGGTTCTATTGAAGTGAAGCTGTATGATATGGTCCGAGGAGCAAAGACAGCAAAACAATGTACCATCAAGATGGCAAAAGAAAAAGCAGGTCCACGCACTTCCATCATAAGAAATAAACGGATGAGAGGATGGTGGCCGTTGATCAAAGTGAAAGAGGTAGAAGATGGGGAGAAAGAGGAAGAAAACAAAAAAAAGAAGAAAAAGAAGAAAAAGAAGAAAGTTAATATTGAAGATGTTGAGTTTACTGACAATTCTAACAACACTTACATCCTTCGGGTGAGATGCTGATTCTTACTGATTTCTCAAACTGAGAGATACCTGAGACTGTGGGCATCCTGCATCAGTAAAGTGTTTCCTTACCTCTGGGTTCCAACTGGGAACACTACCCCAACATTATTCAGTTCGAGGACCATAGACTATAGAATCCCTACCGTGTTGAAACAGGCCCCTCGGCCCAACAAGTCCAGACCGACCCTTAGAACATCCCACCCAGACCCATCTCCCTAACTTAAACATCCCTGAACACTATGGGCAATTTAGCATGGCCAATCCACCTGACCTGCACATCTTTTGACTGTGGGAGGAAACTGGAGCACCTGGAGGAAACCCCAGCAGACACAGGGAGAACGTGCAAACTCCACACAGACAGTTGCCCAAGGGTGGAATGGAACCCAGGTCCCTGGCATTGTGAGGCAGCAGTGCTAACCACTGAGCCACTGGAGAAAAGCACCGTAACGTTGTCCAGTGCAATGGGAAAGGTACCCTGATGTGAATGAACGCCTATGAAATTGTACCCCGGTCTGGATCAGTTCCATCAGTAGAGGAGAGAATTAGGGATGAAAATTGAAATCCTGTATTAAATCCTGTAGTAGTAGGCAACCCGATCTCTCCACTTGTTGCGGATTAGGCTCCCTCATTCTGCAACCATTATACATTATTGTTTTCAAAGGGCCTGAATAACATCCTTCTGTGTGGTAATGTCTTTCTGGGCTGAATATTCCACTTGGAGCAGAATTTCCTCCCTCCAGGGCAAAGGTTGGAGTGAGCCTGCTCCTGATTGGCTGGCTCATGCTACAGTCATTTAACAGCTTTCAGGTATTAATTGGCTTCAGGAGGGCCTTCCTTCATCCCCATTGATGAATGTGTCACCTTAGGGAACTGACATCCAACCAAATGGTTGTTAGTGTTCATGTCAAAGCAGTGTCACAGGGAGCTGTGGCCACTACTGGGACTGTGGTGAGTACTAGAGGGAATCTGGGAGTCATGCCTCAGTCACATGGTTAGGCGCCTGATGAGAGGCAAGGGTTAAAATCTTTGTGGGGAGGGCCTTTTTCCTGGTGACCAGTCTGCCAAATTTCATATAGTGAGCTGGACACTTAGTGAGGCTCTCTCATTCATTCACCACTTAGACCCATGGGCAATCAAGCCACCCAATACCTCCCCAACAAGAGTGAGATTATAGCTGGGGCAAGAAATGATATGTAGATATCAGACAATGATCCCTTTCCATGATGAGCAATTTTATAGCTTTCTCCTGGCTGACACTCTGCATTCCACCACCAACCACACCCTCACCCACACACACCCTCTCTCTCTCTCACACACCACACACAATCTTCAGGGGAGCTATAACTTTGTGGCTTATAACTCATGTTTTCCTGTTACTCAGTGCCAGGTCTTTTCTGACATGTTGCTATTTCTATAAACATGGAAAAGGTTTTGGAAAATTATGTAATGTCTTTAAGGGTCTACTTCCATCCTACAAAATTTTCATGTTGTTTTGTGTTTTTTGTGTCTCTGGTAAAGACTCTTGGTTCTGAGTCAGAAAGTTTTAGAATCAAGCTCCACTCCAGTCTGGATGGATGAGCAGGGCTGAGAGTGTGCTGAGTTCCAGGAGATGTTAAATGCACCCTGATTGGCTCAGACAGGAACAAGGACTCATGCTACCTCTTCCACTGTGACAACTAAATGCAGACGACCGTCATATCATGGGCAGATGCGGGAGACAATTTTGAAAGACAAAATAGGGGCCTTTATGAATCTTTGTTCTCCTTTGTGACAGGGTAAATTAGAGGCTGAAATGCATTTGCTGACTGTAGAGGAAGCTGAAAAACGCCCCGTTGGCCTTGGACGGCAGGAACCGGAACCACTTGAGAAGCCCAAGTAAGTGAATAATGATGCCAAATGCTGCAAATGTGAAACCACAAAGACTGTGGGCAGAATCTTGCACCGTCTTCTGTGCTGTACAACTCTATGACTCTGACTTCTCGTGAGTTGTTCTAAAGAAGAATCATAAAAGACATTAGATATTTTCTAATCAGCCTGTTCAGAGATGTCATTACGTACCTCTGGAGCAGATCAGACTTCAACCCAGGTCTCCTGGTCCAGAGTTATGATCTACCACTGCAGCACAAGTGCCCATATGTCAGCATCTTAACTCTTACTAGGCTGACTTCCAGCACCGGTTTGAGGGACTTAGCGTCAGGAATGGGAGGCTCTACTGCAAGCTACTCCTTGTGCTAGCTGCTGACACCCCGCTTACCCACCCATCCTCTGCAACGGAACTCTGTGTCCCCCATTGCTGGCCTTTGCTAGGCACATCCTCAATCAACTAGTAACAAGAGAAAGCTACTAGCCTCTGATTTGATGGCAGCTCTCAGTGAGTGGGAATGGCACTGCTGGGATCCTTAATCCCATTGAATATCCTGCTGCTAGCTAGTCAGGTGCCTGAGGGGCATAAGGTGTGCTGGGCTTTTCAAAAAAAGGAGACAGTGCATCTGTTCACTGGCTCTGCAGCCAGATGCCAAATCCTGTCACCTCCACACAATGCTGCCTAAGAACTGTTTTTTTTTCCCTCTGATCTAAAATGTTTTATTTCCTACTTCCCTATGATGGATTATATGGCAGTTCCAACAAGGAAAGTCAAAGTGAGGACGATGGTGCTGGACTCAGTCAGTCTCTCTCACCACAATGTAGAAAAGGAAACATTGGTATAAATGTAGCTCAGAAAGTGTGTTTGCCATTTGGGACATTGTTTTGGGTGGAGGTGAACATAAAGGAGTGTAACAAAGTTGCGAAACAAATCATAGAGAGTCATAAACTCATACAGCAAGAAACAGTCCCTTTGGCTCACCATGACGATGCCGACCAATAAACAATAAACTGCACTAATCCCATTTACCCCCACGTGGTTCATAGCTTTCTTTGCCCTCGCATTTTAAGTACTCATCCAGATGTTTCTTAAATGCTGCACGAGTAACGGCATCTGCCACCCTTTCAGGTAGTTCTATATTTCTACCATCCTCTGAGTGAAAAAAGAAATTGCTCAGATCTTCTCTACACTACTTACTCCTCACCTTAAACTTATGCTGTCCATTCTTAGACACATCTGTCATTTTTAAGCAAACCACTACACTCTATATGCTTTTGAAGGGTCTCCCTGTTTTTAATTCACCGTACCTGAACACATGCTTCCTTCATTTTCTTTATCAAACTCTCAATATCCCTTCACATTCTGGGTTCCCTGAACTTACTGCCCTGGTCCTTCACCCTTAGAAGAACATGCTGGCCCTGAAATCTCACTATACTACTTTTAAGACTCCCACTTTCCAAATATACACTTACCTGCAAGTAGCCGCCCCATCTCTCATAGGAGTCTCTATATACTGACACAAAAAGCTCTCCTTTAAAAATTCCACTTACCTAATTCTTTTACACTAAGGCGATCCTAGTTAATATTAGCAATACTGAAGTCCCCTACAACTATAACCGTGTTTCTTTCACACTATTCTGTGATTGCCTACATTATCATCCTCTATCTCCCTCTGACTGTTGGGAGGCCTGTAGTATAATCCCAGAAAAGTAATCACCCCATTTTTATTTCTAAGCTGTATTGAGACCATCTCATTAAATGAGCCTCCTAGGATATCCTCCCTCATTACTGCACCAATGGTTTCCTTTATCAATAATACAATGTTGTCAGTCCTGCCCTTCCCTGAACCATGTCTCAGTGATTGCAACAATATCATATTCCCACATGTGGATTAATACTGTTTAAGTTCATCCACCATACCAGTCAGGCTTCTTGCATTAAAATGCTTTCCGGTCCTTGCACGTGCCTTATCCTGCCCATGTCTTCTCCACCTTCTGGACTATCTTGGTATTTAATCTGATTGGACCTTACACCTTAGTTTCTTCTACTCTGTGCCCTATTCCACTGCCATCCCCCTGTCAGAGTTCTTAGATACTTCAGCAGAACCTCAATATAATGGATAAAAACCAAAAGAACTGCGGATGCTGTAAATCAGGAACAAAAACAAAGTTGCTGGAAAAGCTCAGCAGGTCTGGCAGCATCTGTGGAGGAGAAAACAGAGTTAACGTTTCGGGTCCGTTGACCCTTCCTCA